TTTGGAGAGGATTGTTGTGGAAGCAAAGGTTTGCTCTGATACCATGTCCGAATTTGAGATTGAAGGTGGCAAAAGGGACAGAAGACTGCCGAAGAATGCCTACAAGAAAGCTTGATAAAGAGGGCAGAAATGAGAGCCAAAGAATATCAAGCAAAAGAGAGAAAATTGTATTTTGTATATTGTCTTCTGTAATGTACATTGGCCAATTTATACAGTGGCTTTGAATACAATAAGGAAAGGAAAAACAATAAATTCTTAATTACAAAATATTACAACCAATTAAATCAATCACTGCTTGATTCCAGCATGGATATTCTCAGCATTCCATATTTCATCAGTTACAATTGAAGGTAATAAATTATCTTCTCATTCTCTTAATTTCAATCATTTTTTATGAATTTCTAGTAATTGAACTTTCAAATTATGTATATGAAAGAGTTTAATCTTGTGAAATTGTTTAATCTTTTCCTAGGGTTACATTCCTTGAAAAACTTGAAGGAGTTGCACATGAGCTATAATGAGATTGACCAATTAAGTATTTTATTTATTTAAGTAAGAATATTTAATTAGGATACATATATAAAAATAGTTTAGTAAAAATATTTTTATAATATTGATTTTAAAATTAAAATGAAAAATTATTTTTTCATGTTAATGAAATATTAAATTAAATGGATTTTGGCATTATTAACTAAAAAATGAAGGGCAAAAAATTTTCTTGTGTTCTATAAATTTTGTTTTAAAATTTCCAAAATATAATTCTTGAGTTCAATTTTTTTATTTTTTTTTTAAAAAAGTTATTACTTAACAAAAATTTATTTGTAGGTTTTTAAATTGTAAAATAGAGAATGCTCCAAAGAAAGAAAAACTGAAGTTGTTTTTACTTAATAGAGTTTGGTCCCACTAAATTGGTCTTAATAATTTCAGACATGAGTTTTGTTTTATTTTTATTGTTTAATGATATCCAAATAAATTTTTTTATATTTGTATTTACTAATTTATCCTTATATTTATTAATCTAATTATATATAGCTATTATGTTATTATATAATTATGGTTCTAGTATTAAACTACTTTATTTTAGGAATCATTTCATTAATTGCCTAATAATTATTAAGGCAAGTATTAATTACTTTATTTAAACATTAATTATAAATTAATATTATGAATTTAATAGAAAATATAGACATAATTATCTTAATATATAAATACAAAAAGTAAAAAAAAAAAAAATTAATGACACTGTCGATACCAGAATGTTGCTCGCAAAACGATCTATCGTTGATTGTAAGAATAATTAGCAATAAATTATCTTTTGGCGGTAAGAGGAGCAGAAGCTAAGGGTCGCCATTTCTCTATCCTCTTCTTGTGGCCAAACGCTACATTTTTTTTTTTTTTTTGGTGGGGCGTAATCTAGATGTGTAGATCGTTACAAGAGCGTCGTTCTAATGTTCGTGTTGTCTCCAGAATCACTCTAGTGATGGTCATTGGAACTATTTTTCAACTATTTTTTTTTTTTTTGAATTTACAATATAATTGGACATTTTAAATTAAATATGAAACTGTTTAATCTTGTGAAATTGTGAAATATTTTTTCGGTGAGAGTAATCTATATGTGTAGATTGTTACAAGAGCGTTGCTCTGATGTTAGTATTGTCTCCGGAATCACTCTATGACGGTTGCAAGTCACCAGCCATGGGTTGACGGTTGTCAGAAATGACTACTGGCACTAGTGGCCATTGACTCTACCGGAGTAAATACTCTTTTAATATATTTAATTATCAAATATAATAAAAAGATTTTTAGATTTGTTTGTAGTATAATATTCAAGGTAATTAGCAAGCTCCTCATTCTCATAATTTCAATTTTTATTTTCACAATATAATTGGAATTTTTAAATTAAATATATGAAACTATTTAATCTTGTAAAATTGTTTGACTATTTGCAGGTTTGAGTAACTTGGAGTTAATTGATTTAAGTTTTAACAACCTCAACAATAGCATATTATCATCTTTGAGTGGTCTCTCTTCATTAAAATCTTTGTATTTACAAGATATTGGATTGAACGGAACTGTTGATACTCAATGTAAGTTTGATAAAATTCCTCATGTCTTCTTAGGGAGTTTTTAATTAAATTTGTTTAATTTTTTCCCAGGATTACAATCCTTGAAAAACTTAGAGAAGCTCTACATGGATGAGAATATGATTGACAAATTTGTCAACTCCAAAGGTATTCAATTCATTCCATCACCACAGGCTCATAATTAAACTTAACTAATAATTTTTAATGACTTTATTTTTTAATACAAAGACAATATTTGAGACTGTTATACTAAGTGATGCACATAACAGCTGTGTAAAATTATTTTTATTTTATCATTTTCTAAAATAAAAATAAAAAATCAAAATTTTATTCTATTGGGTATTTGAAAACAGTTTTCATATTATTGAAATATTAAATGTTGTAGGGTATAGTTGGAATATTAGTATTATCTTTAAAATAAAAAAAGAAAATTAACTCAAGAATTGTGTTTTGTAATTTTCTATAGTACACAGAAAATCTTTTTTTTTTTACCCTACATTTCCAAGTTAAAATTGTCAAGTGCATTTGATTTTAAAGATAAAAAGAAAATTTTTGAATTTTGATTTTCAAACTGTCTAAGGAACAAATTTTTTTATTTTTTAAATTCGAATAGAATTATTTTTTATGAAAGAAAGACTAAAGTTAATTAATAGAAACTATTAAACCCATTTGTGTGTTTTTAAGGTTATCATTTTTTTTTTTTTTTTTTTTAAGACGCATAACACAATTCTTGAGGTTAATACTAATTCTTTTTATAAAAGAAACAATTGTGTTTCATAAATCTTTATACTGTATCTAGTAAAAAAAAATATATATATTTTTTATTTTCCTTAATTTGCAAAATATGAGAACTAAGTTTTAGAAACAATATATAATCTTATTTATTAAATGAACGAAACTTCAATAAACAATAAATTCCTATGTAAAATCCATTCCTTGTATTACGTTGAAGATTGTTAATTATAATTCAGTTTTTTAACTTATAGAATATAGAGGCTTGAAGAAGTTAAATGTCCTTTCGCTAAGTACAAGGGGTGTTATTGAATTTGAACCCATTGATGCAAGTGTTTTTCTACAGTAAACATTGAGATCATTCTCATCCTTGAAGATACTTGACCTTTCATTGAATAGTTTTACTCGAACAATGGCTACTCGGGATAAGAAATAAGTTAAAGTTATGATGTTAAGACAAAATTATTGATAATTTGTCGGTTAATTACCTAGCATCATTTGAATTTGTTTTAACAGAGTTGCACAATTTGACCACCTTGGAAGAATTGAACTTGGATGGGTCAAAGCTCCATATAGGTTTTCTACAAACTGTTGCAACCTGTACTTCACTCAAACATTTGTCAATGTTCAATTGTGAACTCAATGACATCTCACATAATCAAGGTTAATTCAATATTAGTTTCATTTGCATTAATTCATATATAAGATAATGTTTAAACTTAATCCTAGATATTAAAATTTGTTTTCAATTTGTGGATCAAACACCTCTTATTCTTCTCAATGCTTAATTGGATATCAATGAAATTTTTGTATATATAGAAAATTTATATTCAAGTTAGATGTTGAAAAAATGAAAATGAATTTTTCTTTTATTACAATATTCTAAAAATGAGATCAAATATTTAAATTTTAATTGAGTAGTAACTTTCCTCTTTTGGAATGGATTGGATTGAATTCATTTTAGTATTTAAGTCCACCTCATTTAATATTTAGCATTCTACAAAAATATTAAGCAGAACGTGCAATTGAGCTTAATGTTTTTTTTCTTTTTGGAAAATATTTTATATTTTAAGAGAGTAAGCATTTACCTAGCCCGATAATCTAAATCTTTGCCATACCAAATTCTAAGTGGAACTTTATTATTCAAGTCTACCCCATTTAATCCTTCAGAATAACAAAAACATTTAGTGATCAACAAAAATATGTAGAAAAGTTAATATGGTTTTTAATATGAATAGTTTCATAATTTTAATTTTTGCAACATTTTTGCTCATGAATATCTGCAAAAATTCATGTTGATATGTGGAGGTCCTATTAATTTCAAGAATTTAGAAAGTTTAATTGTGGACGGAACTACGTTCAACAATAGCTTTCGTCAAATCATTAGACCAATAGCTACTCTTAAGAAGTTATCGTTGCAGGATTGTGGACTCAATGGCACATTACATGATCAAGGTTAGTGATTTGCTCTCCCGTCTTTTTCTCTCCTACTGCTCAAAGTTAACTAATCGTTAACTAGAAACTCATAAAACAAGAATTTCATAGATCTGATTGACTTTTTTTTTTAATGACTCTTAATACATTTTTTTAATGATTCTTAATACAAATTTTATGATTTATTGCAAAAATCACTTGCATTTTTTAGGTGAAGTGGTATTAAAAAGTGAGAGAATTGATACTAGACAACACCTACCATTTATATTTTGATAATTCAAGGAAATATTTTATTTCAGGTTTGTGTGAGATGGTGCATCTAGAAGAATTATATATTGACAATAATGCTTTACGCCTCCGTGCTTTGCCAATTTGACATCTATTAGAGTCCTCGAAATTTCAAACAATCTCCTCCAAATCCCAATTTCACTCACACCACTCTACAACCTATCAAAACTCAAAGAATTCAACAGTGAAAATAACCAAATGAATACAGAAAAAATGCCACATTCTTTGAGCCCAAAATTCCAATTAAATTTCATCACTTTGTCTGGTTACACTTATAGATATGGTGCAACATTTCCGAGATTTCTTTATTATCAATACGATTTGCATAAAGTTGATCTCTCACACATCAAATTGAGTGGAGAATTCCCAAATTGGTTGATAGAGAACAATACAAAATTGGAAACACTTCATCTATCAAATAATTCTCTTTCTGGGCCTTTTTTATTGCCAGTACATTCTCACATGAATTTGACAACATTAGATATCTCCATCAATTCCTTCAATGGCCAAATTCCTATAGAAGTTGGGGTATATTTGCCAAGGCTAGCATCTCTAAACATTTCCAAAAATTCTTTGAATGGTAGCATTCCCTCTTCTTTTGGAGATATGAGCTCATTGCAAATTTTGGATCTGTCAAACAATCAGTTATCTGGTGAAATACCTGAGCACTTAGTCGTAGGTTGCGTTTCACTAAAATTGCTTGTGTTATCAAACAACAGTTTGGAAGGTCCTATATTCTCCAAAAAATTTAACTTGACAAACTTGATGAGGTTACAGTTGGATGATAATAACTTCATTGGAAATATCCCAGAAATCTTGTCTACTTCCTCTTTATTGGGAGGATTATATTTGAGTGACAATCATCTCAATGGTAGTATCCCCAGATGGCTAGGGAATCTATCAGCATTACAAGATATTATAATGCCAAATAATCATCTGGAAGGTCCAATTCCAAATGAGATTTGTCAAATTAGATATCTTGAAATTTTGGACCTTTCAAATAATAGTATCTCTGGGAGTATACCATCTTGTTCAAGTTTTATATCTATCAAGGAAGTTCACTTGTCCACAAATATGTTACAAGGACCACTTGACGATTTTCCTTTTTATGGCTCTACTCTAGTTTCATTAGACCTTGGCTTTAATCACTTGTACGGTAATATTCCGCACTGGATCAATACTTTATCTTCCTTAAACTACCTTATCTTAAAGAATAATAGTTTTGAAGGTGAAGTGCCAACTCAATTGTGTGAGCTAAATCAGCTACGCCTGATAGATCTTTCCAACAACCATTTTATTGGTCAAATTCCTTTTTGCTTTAAATTCACTGCATTTGATGGAGAAGATGGTGATCATGCTATTACAGATTCGTCAATTATAACTCCTAAAGTTGGGCCGCCGATGGGAAAAGATGAAACTGTAGAATTCACAAATCCTACTTCTACCAAGGAAGAATTCTTACCTACATGTCTGGAATTGATCTTTCTTGTAATAAGCATTCCTTATCAAATTGGAAACCTTACTGGGATTCATGCACTGAATTTATCTCACAACAATTTGACGGGATCAATTCCAATGACATTTTCACACCTTCAAAATATTGAAAGCTTAGACCTTTCCTACAACAACTTGAATGGGAAAATTCCTCCCCAATTGGTAGGAATATATACTTTGTCCTTCTTTAGTGTGGCACACAATAACTTATCTGGCAAGACTCCTAAGATGATTAATCAATTTGGAACTTTTGGAGAAAGTAGTTATGAGGGGAATCCTCATCTTTGTGGACCACCACTTCCTAAATGTGATGCAAATGGTTCATCACCACCAATGCCAACACCTTCAACTGAAAATAATGAAGATAACAATTCCATTGACGTGGAAATCTTCTATATCAGTTTTACTGTTTCCTACATAATTGTGCTCTTAGGAATTGCTACAATTTTGTACATAAATCCTTGTTGGCGACGTGCATGGTTTTATCATGTCAAGACGTGGACAACCTCAAGCTACTATTTTGTTGTAGACCATCTCCCCAAGCCATTATGTCTTCAAAGTATGTAGTTTAATTATATGTACACTTCTTATATGTACTTTTCTTTTCCAATGTTCTCAATGAAGCTAGAATCATGCGGTTAATTTACCGCATATCATAGCCACAAAATTGACTACAAAACTATTTACAATTTTAAAGTTACACATGATGAAGGACATTATTTTGTTTTGAACATCTCACTAAGCAATTCTTAAGATGGTCATATAATTGAAAAATCTTCCCAAGACAATGCCTATTCTGTTTGATAAAACTATCGGCATCTCTTGCTTCCACTTAGATATAATATCTTTATATGTATTCTTCACAAACAACTTTCAGTGCATTTTATTTTACACTCAAGTGTAATTTTGCTTTTGGTTGAATTTGACCAAATTCGCCAACTATTGATGAGAATAATTTGCTTCTTTGAGTTCATAATTTAAGTGTTTGAAAGGATTTAAAACAGTCATAAGCAGAAGTACTGTTGCATCAGTAAATTTTGGATTTCAAACACTTTAATGCCTCTAAGCATAGTTTCTAATAATCATTCTTAAAATTTCCTAATATTTCAAAACTTGAAACACACCATTTTATGGCTTTTAGAATTGAAGAATGCAAAAACACATTATAATTTAATCAAATTAAAATTCCCTAGAGTCAATTTCCCGGAAACAACACACATTCACATGCAAAAATCATTGGCCGATTTAAGGAATAATTGCTTATGTGATCAAGCTGGTCAATCGAAAAACAATGGGCAGAAATTGATGGGCAGCTCTGTTATAAGAGAGCAACTCTTCAAAGCTCAAACAAATTAAGAAGACCAGAAATTAATAGAAAAGTTGATTGAGAGGCATGGTAGCTTGAACATAGGTGTTTGTTGAGGAAGGAAAAAAACCCCCAAGTCAATAGCAAACTTGATCTATACCTACTATAAATAGCATAGAATGTTTGTTTTTGTGTGTGCCTTGTATGGGTTCAAAACTTTGATCAATCAACAGGAATTTATTATTTCTAATAACGTTAATGATCAATTTATTGCTCTTTGTTACATAATATTCGAATATCAAACAATGATGGAGTATAAATTCATGCAAGGATTTGAATCCACGTCTGTACTACTGGAATCATCTTGGCTTATTCTCAAATAAAACATTACTTCAAATAGATACTCACATTTGAATAGCTTTCTTTCTTGGAAAAGCAAAGCACCCCAACTCTCTACAATGAAGCTCCATGCAACCTCTGCCATGCTTATTTCAAACCAAGTTGATTTTAATAATGTGTATGTAATAACTTGGATTTAAAGAAAAACACAATTGATTACAAAAACAAGAGAGAAAACTAACCAAGTGTTTCACTTGCCAATCTTGAAGCTGGTTCAGAATTGAAATTGGAACAAGAAGCCAAGTTGCTCATGCATCATTAGGCAAAAGGGACTTTGTTGCGGGTTCATAAATTTGATCATCACCATCAGTATCTATTTCAGCATTGTTATTTTTAGCCCTGAAAATATCACAGTCATGGCAAAACCAATCACCTTCAGGTACAGTAAAATAGACTATCATCATTGGTGCCCTGGCACACACTACACTTCACATGAGCATAAGGATCAAAGGGCCCAATTGTTGCACTTCCAAAAATAAGGTAAACCTTCAAAACTAAAATATATTTAAAAATACACCACTTACGGACATAAAAATATTTGGCATCTGAGGAAAAAAGCAATATACTTTTAATGTCAAATTTGGAATAATTAAAGCCAAAATCAAGCATTAAATCAAACTCTTCTTTGATGTCCAGAAAATAAAATTTGGCAACTAGAATTACCTTTAACTTTAAGCATGCCAAAATTGATATGATATACAAACTGAACCTTTTCCAGGTTAAGCAGTTAACAAACCCAAACCAAATTGTAGAAATATGCAACCACAGAAGAAGAAAATACAGGTAAGACTCACAACCTCCCCTTTAAACAAATGAAGACAAATTCAGTGTAATGTTGTTTCAATTTTTCTTTCTTTTTCACCAAGGATTTCACCAGTAAGGACTTTCAAAGGTATGACTCTTATGTAATCAAATTTATCAGATATTAAAAGGTCAAGTAATTAATGCAGATAAATTTACATACTTGAAAATACATACCTGGAATGCGGGAACCAGTCCATAGATTTCTATTAACTAGCTAAGTGTTTCATCACAACCACCAATGCAGCCGATCACATGTATAGGAAATTTAGGAAGAGACAAAAGCTTCAAATTCCACAAAATTATATTAATCTTTATATATTTCCCGCTGAATGAAAAATAATAATATGGAGTACACACCTAAATGCATTATAACAAGTGAGAATTACTATAAAGACCTTCTAGTTAAAACTAAACTAAAAACAAAAAATAATGAAAGCACCTGATAACATTAGATTTGCAAATTTCCTATGCTTAAAATATATCAAACTATTGCTCTTAACTTTGAAATTTACCAATAACAATCTAGCCACAAATGTTTTTCTAATTCATTTGGAATGCTACTGCTGTTATTACAAATTTAATTAGTATCTCACCTCTTTTTTACCACTCACCATAGAAGAAGGCTACCATACAAACTAAACTCTTGAGTCCTTAAGAGTTATCTCAAAATAAGCAAAACTAGAGCACTCGCCATAATGTTGTCTTATGTATCATAATCTATAGTTTCTAATTTATTTTTCTACTACTCAGCATAGAAGAAGAGCTCAATTACAAACTGACCCCTAACAGCGCTCTCAAGATACTTAAAACTGAAGAAACAACTCAAACTAGAATTTTGTCCTATGTAACAAAGCAAAAGATGAAGGCATCATGTTAGTCAGATGTAATCCTAAACTGAACGGGTAAAAAATCTTAATTAATATTTGAAGTACATGATACCAAATATTTTTTCACCATACGTAACAGGGGAAAAAAAAAAAAAAAAAAAAACATGAATTTGTACACCCAAATGCTACAGTAAGAGAAACAATCCAATTCAAAAACTTAAAAAAATCATCCCATCCAGATTAATTAAGATAAGCTAATCCAATTCAAAAAACTCATCCAGAGTAACTTAAGATAAGCTGATGCAATTAGAAAAGAGAAAAAAAATCAAGTGTAAGCACATCAAAAGACTCACCTTCTAAATACACGGAAAGAAGTTTACGAGCACAATGATTCTAGTCACTTCTCATAAAAGCATCAATCCTACAATGAGTTAAAGGCATAGAAAACTTTAGCACAAAAGCATGATAAACAAAACAAAACAAATAAATCCTACAGCAGCAACAGGTTACAAATTCTAAAAACATTGCATCATTATTTATCTAACAAATAAATTCTACAGAACATCTTTTAAGAGCACCATAAGTGCATATAAAAAAATCTAGGTTAATTATTCATTATAAAAAAATAGAGAAACAAAACTAGTGTAGCAAATTAATTATAAATTATTAAGAACATCATTCATTGACATCAAAATTTTTATCAAATTTTCACATGATTATTCAAAAACAATGGGATTGAATTCGGATCAGAATATATTATATTCTTATTTAGAAGCAATACAATTTCAATGGCGTAGAATATGTTAATTGCTTCTATTATAATCAAAGTTCCACGGCTAACTATTAGGTCAAGAACAGGTATCGATAACCAACACATAACAATCGTACCTTAAACACATTTCCAGCTTCTTTGATCGCCTCCACAAGCTTCAGCAGCAACAAAATGTTGTGGCTCCAGAAATGAACCCGAGACATTGTGAAAATTACAACATAACTTTTTTCACTGCTTCCACTAGACTCTTATGATTAGAAAACGAACCTTCAACAAGAAGAGCCGCTTCCTTTGTGAACAATAACAGCATCTGAAGCTTTTCGATTCCAAGTCCGACCTTTGGACGCTGAAGACCTAAAAGAAAGGAAAGGAGACAACGGCAAAAGAGCTCGGCGACGACTTGGAAGAAAAGGAATCTAGGCGATGCAATAAAATCGAAATGAAATAAACTGGTGTTAGGGATTTCAAAATTGGGGAAGAGGCGGGTACTGTTGAATGACTTACGTTGTAGATTTGGGAAATATTGTAATTGTAAGCCCTTCATAGTTTCCAAAATATACAATATAGACCCGATAAAATATCATTTAACTCCCCCCATATTGAACATCTTTTACGTAATCTTTCAGAATCGAGTTTACCATCTTGTTTTGGTCTTAATCACATCAAACAACTTGTCAAGAAATATCCTACTCTTACAAAGAAAGGATCTTCACATTAATGTTTGGGATTCATCTTTCTTTTTTATTTCTAAGCTAAAAGAGATATATAAGTTATCTAGATTCAATGTGACATACAATAACTTATCTAGTAATTTGCAATCTTTGAAGAAAGTAGTTACAAGGAAATCCATTTCTTTGTGAATTGCCTTTGAACAAAAGTTGCAACACTATACAATCACCATCATTGACACCAACGGCTTCAACAATTACCAAAGAAGATAGATCGTGATTTTGTCGACATGGATGTCATCTATACAAGTTCCTTGGTGACCTACATAATTGTCCTTTTAGCAATTGTTACAATCCTGGACGTGAATCCTTACCGGCGAAGAACAAGGTTCTATCTTGCAGAAATATGGATGACCTCCCACTACTACTTTGTTATTTATTATCTCCCACGATTCCATTGTTGAATTGTAATTTTCATATTATATGTATGTCATCTTTTTCTATTTAAATATATGTTTTTTGTTTTAAGTTCGAATGAGAAAATCAAATCTGTTGAATCATATAAATAAATTTCAAAACTTACATAGTTTTTAAAGTTTATCGAATCTATGCAAATAGATTGATAGATAGAAAGTTTGGATTTCAAAAGACTGTTTATTGACTTGATTACTTCAACATGAAATGGCAACAAATATTTGACAAAATAAATTATTTTAGCAATTGCATTAATTGGTTTGAAATTAATTTTCAAGGAGTTCCTATATATGATAGCTTTCAATTGATTATCTTAAGTTAGGTATTTATAATGTTTTAGAATGATTTAGAAATACATAATAACATTACGGAGCATTAAATATGTCATTAGTTGACATTAACTATTATTGATATGTTGTTGTATAATATTATTTCTCAATTAAGTAAATTGGATATGAAATATTATTGTTTTAATTATAATGAATAATCTCGTATTAATTATACGTCTGATTGGATTTTTATATTAAAGAGTTTTTTTATTTAATTTTTTTTTTTTTATGTTAATGATATTTTATATATCATGCTTAAAATAAAATAAAATACAATTCTATAAGACCACTACATGTACCGCTCTTTATATAAAAATAATAAATAGGTGTTAATTTTTTTAAAAGCAAATAATTAAAAATATTCTTGAAAATAGTTTCAAATGAAACAGTAATCTATAATACTGCGAAACTTACCTTTTAGTTTTGAGATTTCTCTTACAGCAGTAAAATATTGCAGCAGCTGCTGTAGACAAAAGGATTATCAACAAATGCCTCTTATTATTTTGTCCAATTTTATTATCTCCAGAATTGAAAAATCATTTATATCCATTCCAGTTAGGGGAAAAAAATAATAATAATAATAAAATAAACCTATCAATATGTTAACTTCAGATCAGATGAAGATCTTGATTCAAATGAATAGAAGAGATAGTAATTGATTGCTAATTACCTGCAGTTTTAGAAAGCACCCAATTCACATAATAGGAAACTTGCCACACAAAGTAGCCAAGTAGTTTCTTCTCCTTGGCATAAGAAACTTTAGCTCTAACAGCCTCAACATCATCAAAACCAATCCAAATTGTTATTTACCATATAATTTGAGTTGTATCTAACATGAACACCAGGGCCCTTTCGCTCAATGTAATTGTTGATTTCCCCATAGGTTAAACCTTGAACTGGTTTATTAATTTCATTGTCCATAGGGTTCTCAAGCGTCCACGCATAGCCATAGAAGGACAAACCCAAAACCAATTTATTAGCTGATAATCCTCCCTCTATCCATTCTCTTATACCATAATCCATACCAACGAAATTGCTTTGATTACTCAGAGTTGCTTGACCGCCCATAAGTTACTCCAGAGAGGTTTAATGTAGTCACTAGCCACAACATGGACCCAATTCAAATGTTGTTGTATCGCCTTTATCGGGTAACTTGCTGATGAAGAGATCGTTGGTGAATATCCAAACTTTGCCGTCAAGATCAATGGCGACCAACTGGAGTTTGTTCCCTCTAAATCAATAGCAACTTTCCACTCTTGAAATAGAACACCCGTATTGAACATATCAAAGCTTGTGTGTGGATATTACCAAGCAAAGTCTAGGCCTTGAAAGCTGTTAAGTCTGGCCATTTTTATCGAGGAATCGATGAAGGATTTTCTGTGAGAAGAATTGCTTACCATTGAAGAAAATTGTTGAGTTAATCTGCAGAATCACTAAACATAACAAACCACAATTCCACACACACAACCACAATCAAACTGAAAATAGAAATCAAGAACACAAGAACACGAAATTTTATTGTGGTTCACTTACCCAATATAGGATAAACTACATCCACATTGAGCTCTAGTAAACTTGGGGCTCACTGCACTAGAGATCAAGTTTTTACACCAATACAAACAAGATTGACACCCAATCTGTAACAATCTTTCGAGACTAAAACCGTAACCTTTCCTAAGAGAATACTAAACCCAGATTCTCAAGACTTGAAGGAAACTCAACCCTCAACTAATTATTACAACCAATCGCTCAAGATTACAGTCAATAAAAGATTCACAACAAACCTAATAGAGAGAGCTTTCAATGGTCAGGATCTCATCTTGAGTCAGTTCCTTAAAACAACAGCATTGAACTTAATGTTCAACAACACCGTTTTGGGCTTCACATTAACATTCTTCACCTTGAAGCTCAAAAACAACCACACTGCTCGGTTCAAGTCTCCTTAGTGCAACTACCTCCCAAGAACCCTTCTCAGCTCTATAGTTTGCTGCTTATTTTATAAACAGCAAGTTCAAACAATGTTTGAACTTTTTGACAATTACTACCTTTGTGCCCATGTTAGCTGGATTGCCCTCTGTTGATATCTTCTTCAGATCTATGATTCCTTAAGCCACTAAACCCCTTACAAAATGGAACCTTACATCCATATGCTTCGTCCTTTCATGGTAGACAGGATTCCTACTTAGGTGGATTGCACTCTGGCTGTCAGAAAAAATTGTTATCTCTCCATCAATCAACTCTACCTCAGATAGAATCCTCTTAAGCCATAATGCTTCTTTGAATACATCTACCACAGCAGTGTATTCAGCTTCAGTGGAGAAGAGGGCAACGAGAGGTTGAAGCTGTGACTTCCAACTTATGTAGTTTCCTCCCAATGTGAAGTAGTATGAGGTGGTAGACTTTCTTGTATCCCTGTCTCCTGCAAAATCTGAATCTACATATCCCACAAGATCAAGTGAAGCTCCTCTTTTCTTATATTTCAACCCAACATATATTGTACTATTAATATATTTCAATAACCATTTCAATGTTGACCAGTGTTCTATACTTGGATTGGACATAAAACGACTAAGTATGGAAATAGCATAGGATAGGTCAAGCCTGGTGCTAATCATGGCGTACATGACTGATCCTATCACATTAGCATAAGGTACCTTTTCCATTCTATTTAATTCAGTTTTAGACTTAGGACACTGAGCCTTGCTAAGCGTAAAATGGCTGGCTAAGGGCATGGACACTAACTTGGAATCAGACATTCCAAATATGGATACCAGTTTCAGTAGGTAGGAGGATTGCTGAAGTTTTAGTTCACAGTCCTCTCTTTTTCTGTCAATAACTATCCCTAGGATTTTTAGCACTTCCTAGGTCCTTCATATCAAACTCAGAGTCCAGCCTAGACTTTAAATCATTTATCCTGTTTTTTGATTTACTAATCAATAGCATATCATCCACATAAAGAAGTAAATACACAAGCATACCAGCATTCAAGTCATAGTAAAAACAACTATCATATTCACTTCTTTTGAATCATATACTGGTAATGGAGGTGTCAAACCTTTTATACCATTGTCTAGGAGCTTGTTTAAGCCCATACAATGACTTATGCAACAAGCACACATGGTCAAGGCAGTTACTATCAGTGAATCCCATAGGCTGTTTCATGAAGATCTTTTCATCTAAGTTACCATGCAGGAATGCAGTTTTTACATCTAACTGCTCTAGTTCTAGGTTTAAGTATGTAACTACTTATAGCATAATCCTAATAGTCTTATATTTGACTACAGGGGAGAAGATTTCATTGAAATCAATCCCTTCCCTTTGAGTGTGGCCCTTTGGTACAAGTCTAGCTTTGAATCTAGGTGGGTCAGAGGGATTCATACCTTCTTTTACTTTGTATAAGCATCTACAGTGTAACGCCCCACTTGAGGTACGTAGTTATTGTTTCTTCTTTTGCTCTTATTTGAGTTGGTTTCTTGGTAGTATTGTTTGATTGAGTGTGTTGAATGTTTGCCCTGAAATTGGTTGAAAATAGAAGAAGTTCAGTGTGCTAAGCTTCGCTGGGGCGAAGAAGAATCTTCGTCGCGGCGAAGATGTGTTGAAACCACGGGAAACTCTCTGGACAGTTTCGCCGCGGCGACAAGCCGACCAAAATGTTTGTTAAGTTTTAGATATTTTCTTCCCTAAGGGCAATTTGACCATTCTACCCCTAATTAGCAGAAAAAGTGGGGAGTAAAATGTAAGGATTTTTCATGGAGAATATGTTGATATGGGGGTGTGTTTAGGATTTTTCATGGAGAATATGTTGATATGGGGGTGTGTTTGTAATGAATTAAAGGACATAGATAGAATTCCTAAAGAAGAGTAAGGGCAAAATGGGAATGCTTGTGTATAAATTTCATTAAAAGGAATTGAGACTTAGCAAACCCTTCATTCTTCTTCTCCAACGCAACCCTCCACTCTTGTTTCCTCTCAACTTCTCTTTCTTTTGATCAAGGAGTTCCAAGGGGTTTTTGAAGTGATTTGGGGTAGAAAAT